GAAGTTAGAGCGGACATAAGTATATCCAATCGGGAAGTGATAGCATCCATATCACTCTGCCAAGGAGGAGTAGCAGGTAGTAGATAGTGGTACTTCAGCAATAGTAGCAGTACGGCCATGAGGAGGCGGCTTAAGCTCTGAATGGAGCTTCCAGCAAGCAGTCCTGAGATGTTCTGATCGGCCACAACAATCACACTGACGAGAATCTTCTAGTCTGCGCTGACCTAGGGCACCCTGACGGCGTTGGTCCAAATGCTGCCCACTCCTGATTGAGGATCCTAAACGAGACCCTGCAGCTGCTGCAAGGGTCATATGATCAGCNACTAACTGATGTACAGATAATAGATTCATGACCAATTTTGGCGCATGAAAAATCGAACATAATGTAAAGTCATCTGGGAGGCGGACTGTAATCCTACTAACAATAGGGGCATGTGTCCCATTTGCTAACTAAACCTGTGTATGTAGCTGCTCGTCAAAAGTGGTGAAGTGATGAGCCTCATCTGTCATGTGACCATTTGCACTTGAGTTTAGCATCCAAAGGGGAGATAGACTGGCACAAGCATGAAAGGCACGAGATATACCTGTAGTGGTGGCTGCAGTAGTAGTCAGATTCTGAGAAGTTAGAGCGGACATAAGTATATCCAATCGGGAAGTGATAGCATCCATATCACTCTGCCAAGGAGGAGTAGCAGGTAGTAGATAGTGGTACTTCAGCAATAGTAGCAGTACGGCCATGAGGAGGCGGCTTAAGCTCTGAATGGAGCTTCCAGCAAGCAGTCCTGAGATGTTCTGATCGGCCACAACAATCACATTGACGAGAATCTTCTAGTCTGCGCTGACCTAGGGCACACTGACGGCGTTGGTCCAAATGCTGCCCACCCCTGATTGAGGATCCTAAACGAGACCCTGCAGCTGCTGCAAGGGTCATATGATCAGCTGGAGGAGTCAAGGCCGCAATTGGAAGTGATGTAATACAGACGTGGCACTCATGCTGCTCAATCATCGCAAACACCTCATAAAGAGAAGGAAGTGTCAACATCGATAAGATCTGGGAACGAGGTCCCTCAAGCTCATCATGAAGCCCCATAAGGAACTTGTGAATCCTATCTTCCTGCTCTCGAGTATGCAAGAATGCTACTCCCTCGGGCTCTATTCTCAGAATAGCAGCAAGAGGACGTAGAGTTTTATACTCAAGCCAGCACTGGGTCAAATAGTCATAATAATCCTAAACGGTCATATCTTTCTGCCGAGCATATGAGAGCTCCTGAGAAAGCTCATAAACACGTATTCTCTATCCTGACTGGGAATACATCTCTGATAATGTACTCCATAGCTTCGGAACAGAGATATGAAACTGGTGAATCCTGCAAACGGATGGCTCCATTGAGCCAAATAACCATCCAAGAATAGTGCAGTTCTCAGAGAACCACGTAGAATATCCAGGGTCGGCATCAGCTGGCTTTGGGTGAGATCCTGTCAGCCAACCAAGCTTCTTTACACGGCCTAAGAAAAGCTGGAATGAGTGAGACCACTTAGCGAAGTTACGGCCATTCAACAACTGTGCTATAATTTTCTGAGAGATTATGCCCGACAGTGTTGGTAATACAACTGTGCTAGTAGGTACTGTATATTGGTCAAACATAAAAGTGGANTCTGCCGAGCATATGAGAGCTCCTGAGAAAGCTCATAAACACGTATTCTCTATCCTGACTGGGAATACATCTCTGATAATGCACTCCATAGCTTCGGAACAGAGATATGAAACTGGTGAATCTTGCAAACAGATGGCTCCATTGAGCCAAATAACCATCCAAGAATAGTGCAGTTCTCAGAGAACCACGCAGAATATCTAGGGTCGGCATCAGCTGGCTTTGGGTGAGATCCTGTCAGCCAACCAAGCTTCTTTACACGGCCTAAGAAAAGCTGGAATGAGTGAGACCACTTAGCGAAGTTACGGCCATTCAACAACTGTGCTATAATTTTCTGAGAGATTATGCCCGACAGTGTTGGTAATACAACTGTGCTAGTAGGTACTGTATATTGGTCAAACATAAAAGTGGAAGTACCAATAAATGTTTCAACGGTAAAGGTGTCAACAGTAGGGGTCTCAAGTCTCTCAGTAGTAGCCATATCAATAATAATACTAGGGCATCCGTGACAGAAAAACAACTCTAAGATAAATAGAGGGATAAAATAAGGGAGAACAATATTCCTTCAGTCGAACAGTAGCGACAGATAAAGAAGGTCAAAAAAACTCCCAAATAATCAAATCACGGTATCCAGAAATTCAAGAAATATAAATAAATAATCTACTGCATCAAGAGCATATCAACGGTGAAGAAGATTCAACCCCTCTTAAAAGGTCCTACAGTCCCAAATAATCAGGCGCACAAAGGCAAAACACGAAACTATGATTAAGAGCGTGACCTAGCTGGTTCGTTGGGGTGAGTACTGTGTTGGGTTTGGGGCTGGACTGGGCAATGGGCTATGGGTAGTGGGTTGGGCAGTGGGCTATGGGTAAATTTTGACTTAGGCTGTATGGGCAGTGGGTTGTTTGACTGTGGGGTGGCTGGGCAGTGTTGGAGATATAGTCGTTGGGTTGGTTGGGTCGTCGCTGGGTGGTTAGGTCGTGTGCGTCGCTGGGTTGGTTGATGTCATCACTGTTGGTTTGTGGAGAGGTGGTTGTCGTTGCTTTATGGTGGAGAGGTGGCTGTCGGTTTGTGATGCTGGGGTTGTTTGGTATTGCTGTTGTTTGGGGCTGTCGGTTTGTGGAGAGGTGGCTGTCGGTGCTTATTTGTTATTGCTGTCGTTTGGGGCTGTCAGTTTGTGGAGAGGTGGCTGTCAGTTTGTTGATGATCTTCGTATCGACGGCTGTTAATCGCTGGTGAGGATGATTAGGGTTAGGGTTAGGGTATGGCTCTGATACCAACTTGAAATAAACGTGAGTGAAAAGGGATATAAACTAAGTGTAGAGCTCCGTATATATCAGGGTTCAAAGTATCGGCTGAGTCTGATACGACTCGGCCATAGACGATACGATAACAGTACACGAATCGAAAAATTGACGAATTTAACTTGTATCGGCGATATCTCGGACGTCTCGGCCGAAATNAGGGTCGGCATCAGCTGGCTTTGGGTGAGATCCTGTCAGCCAACCAAGCTTCTTTACACGGCCTAAGAAAAGCTGGAATGAGTGAGACCACTTAGCGAAGTTACGGCCATTCAACAACTGTGCTATAATTTTCTGAGAGATTATGCCCGACAGTGTTGGCAATACAACTGTGCTAGTAGGTACTGTATATTGGTCAAACATAAAAGTGGAAGTACCAATAAATGTTTCAACGGTAAAGGTGTCAACAGTAGGGGTCTCAAGTCTCTCAGTAGTAGCCATATCAATAATAATACTAGGGCATCCGTGACAGAAAAACAACTCTAAGATAAATAGAGGGATAAAATAAGGGAGAACAATATTCCTTCAGTCGAACAGTAGCGACAGATAAAGAAGGTCAAAAAAACTCCCAAATAATCAAATCACGGTATCCAGAAATTCAAGAAATATAAATAAATAATCTACTGCATCAAGAGCATATCAACGGTGAAGAAGATTCAACCCCTCTTAAAAGGTCCTACAGTCCCAAATAATCAGGCGCACAAAGGCAAAACACGAAACTATGATTAAGAGCGTGACCTAGCTGGTTCGTTGGGGTGAGTACTGTGTTGGGTTTGGGGCTGGACTGGGCAATGGGCTATGGGTAGTGGGTTGGGCAGTGGGCTATGGGTAAATTTTGACTTAGGCTGTGTGGGCAGTGGGCTGTTTGACTGTGGGGTGGCTGGGCAGTGTTGGAGATATAGTCGTTGGGTTGGTTGGGTCGTCGCTGGGTGGTTAGGTCGTGTGCGTCGCTGGGTTGGTTGATGTCATCACTGTTGGTTTGTGGAGAGGTGGTTGTCGTTGCTTTATGGTGGAGAGGTGGCTGTCGGTTTGTGATGCTGGGGTTGTTTGGTATTGCTGTTGTTTGGGGCTGTCGGTTTGTGGAGAGGTGGCTGTCGGTGCTTATTTGTTATTGCTGTCGTTTGGGGCTGTCAGTTTGTGGAGAGGTGGCTGTCAGTTTGTTGATGATCTTCGTATCGACGGCTGTTAATCGCTGGTGAGGATGATTAGGGTTAGGGTTAGGGTATGGCTCTGATACCAACTTGAAATAAACGTGAGTGAAAAGGGATATAAACTAAGTGTAGAGCTCCGTATATATCAGGGTTCAAAGTATCGGCTGAGTCTGATACGACTCGGCCATAGACGATACGATAACAGTACACGAATCGAAAAATTGACGAATTTAACTTGTATCGGCGATATCTCGGACGTCTCGGCCGAAATCAAAGGTGTCGGTGAAAACTCGGTTAAACTCGGGCGACGCGATTCGGAATCCTTCTGAGTCAAACACGACAATAGAAAAATCCCAAAATCTGACCCACACCTTTGCAAAAGATTATCAACACTCCTTCATTTTTCTGAAAAATGAACAAAAATCCAAAAAAAAAAAAGGGGGATGGGAAATAAAGTAGACCTACTACTAGACTACCTGTTGAAAGACTCGACACTCATGTGAAAATTGTAGAAATCACATGAACCCTAAGGCAGCAAACCCCTATAAAAAACCAAGATTACTACCATACCTATAAATCGAATCTTGAAGCATCTTCTTCATCTGGTCTTGTGTGTCGATCTTGTTCGATTTTTTGTTATTCTTGTTCAACTCTTTGTTGAAAGGATCTTCTTCGATTCTTTGTTGAGACGATTTTCTTCGGTCTATATCGGTGAGGAACTGCACTGCATCTCTCTGTTTGCACTACCGTGCGACTCTGGGCGACTCTGGGAAGTGAGAAAGACGAAGAACCTAAAATAGGTAGGAAAAAAACTGATTTTTTTTTAAGGAATGTTTATATATTTATATTTACCTTAAAAGTAACATAAAAGTAGTAGCTCAATTGGGTGGTGTNAGATGGAGGAAGAGGGTCGTAGGCACTCTGTATCAAATGCAAGTGGTCGATCATCACAAACATCAAGCTCAGGAATCAAGCGCGAACCACCACGTAGCTATAGCACAAAAGATGGTGCAAGCATGCTTGTAAGTGGCCTTGATCCGTACATGTTCCCGTCGAAACAAAAGTCAGTAAAAGGCATGTTCTCAGGTGCGAACCTGAAAAAAGTGGGAAAAGCTATTTCAAAGTTCTTCCTCTTCAATACCATACCATTCAATGCAGCTGATAGTGGGCCTTACTATCAGTCAATGATTGACACTATTGCGAATGCAGGCCCAGGAATAAAGGGTCCCGTAGGATATCAAATTGGTAGTTCTTATTTGGAGGAGGAGGTTCAAGAGTTTGATGTGTATATATCTTCGATGAAGGTAAAATGGCCTCAGTATGGTTGCACAATCATGTCNACAAGGTCTCTGGTTCGATTCCCTGCTGCAACATATAGTCTAGTTTTTTTTTTTGACCGAATATTTATATATTTATATTTGCCTTAAAAGTAACATAAAAATAGTAGTTCAAATGGGTGGTGTTGCAAATTTAGCTGCAAGGTCCCTGGTTCGATTCCTTGCTGCAACATGTAGTTTAGTTTTTTTTTTTTTTACTAAGTGTTTATATATTTATATTTGTCTTAATATAACATAGACGTAGTAGCTCAATTGGGTGGACTTNTATTATATTGATTTGATGCTAGAAGATATTGGTCATATGAAAGCAATCAAGGAGACCGTAGATGATGCTAAGACGATCACATCTTTTATCTATAACAGTCTCAAAGTGGTCAACTTAATGAAGCAACATACCAGAGATAGAGANCTGCTGCAACATGTAGTTTAGTTTTTTTTTTTTTACTAAGTGTTTATATATTTATATTTGTCTTAACATAACATAGACGTAGTAGCTCAATTGGGTGGACTTGCACATTGTAATGTTGTAGGTTATTGGTTCGACTCCTCCAAGATCCCAACACACTGTTGCCTTTTTTTTTTTNACGATTTGCCACTGAATTTATCGCCATTGAAAGTCTTATTCGTTATGAATCGGACTTGAAAAGAATGTGTACCACCGATGAATGGCGTGAGTTCAACAAAGACAAGAAGAGTAGAAAAACAAGAGATATAGTCTCAAATCTTATTTTGACTGACCAATTTTAGAAGAAGGTTAGAGAAGTTCAATCTGTCATGGAGTCTCTTGTTAGGGTCTTAAAAATAGTCGATCAAGATAAAAAACCAACTTTATCAATTATCTATGAGGCAATGGACAGGGCTAAACTAGCCATACAACATTCAGTCAAAAATTGGAAGAAATGCTGGGCTGTGATTGACAAAAGATGGGAGATCCAATTGCATAGACACTTACATGCAGTAGGTAAAAGTATTTAAAAATATAAAATTTTCATTGTGTATTAGCTTGTAAAATATTATAGTTTTTCACTTACTTACATTAAATTATCAAAAATTTTGCAGCTNAGAGATCCAATTGCACAGACACTTACATGCAGTAGGTAAAAGTATTTAAAAATATAAAATTTTCATTGTGTATTAGCTTGTAAAATATTATAGTTTTTCACTAACTTACATTAAATTATCAAAAATTTTGCAGCTTATTTCTTAAATCCAGTTTTTCAGTATTCTAATCAATTTTCCAACCNGCTGGGCTGTGATTGACAAAAGATGGGAGATCCAATTGCATAGACACTTACATGCAGTAGGTAAAAGTATTTAAAAATATAAAATTTTCATTGTGTATTAGCTTGTAAAATATTATAGTTTTTCACTAACTTACATTAAATTATCAAAAATTTTGCAGCTTATTTCTTAAATCCAGTTTTTCAGTATTCTAATCAATTTTCCAACCATCCTGAGGTAAGATCTGGTTTGAAAGAGGTTATTAAAAGATTGGAACCAGATTTGAATAAACAAGCAAGGGCAATGAATGAGGTATGACGATTTTTGATAATTTTTTATTATAATATGTGTATATATTTGTCGTTTACGTAATACATTACACAATAAATTGCAGATCAAATTATATACTGACAAACATGGCGAGTTTGGGAATGCACTTACTAGAAAAGCTGTACATGCCTCCCTTCCAGGTTTATTATTTAAACTAAATGTATTTAGTAAAGTATCATTTGTTAATCTTATGGACAATACTAATATTGTACAGTTTTTTTTTTTTGTAGTTGAATGGTGGATCAATTATGGTGAAGAAGCTCCCCATCTGCAAAAAATTGCAGTCAAAGNGCTTGTAAAATATTATAGTTTTTCACTTACTTACATTAAATTATCAAAAATTTTGCAGCTTATTTCTTAAATTTAGTTTTTTAGTATTCTAATCAACTTTCCAACCATCCTGAGGTAAGATCTGGTTTGAAAGAGGTTATTAAAAGATTGGAACCAGATTTGAATAAACAAGCAAGGGCAATGAATGAGGTATGACGATTTTTGATAATTTTTTATTATAATATGTGTATATATTTGTCGTTTACGTAATACATTACACAATAAATTGCAGATCAAATTATATACTGACAAACATGGCGAGTTTGGGAATGCACTCACTAGAAAAGCTGTACATGCCTCCCTTCCAGGTTTATTATTTAAACTATATGTATTTAGTAAAGTATCATTTGTTACTCTTATGGTCAATACTAATATTGTACAGTTTTTTTTTTTTGTAGCTGAATGGTGGATCAATTATGGTGACGAAGCTCCCCATCTGCAAAAAATTGCAGTCAAAGTTTTAAGCCAAACATGTTCATCATCAGGGTGTGAAAGAAATTGGAGTACATGGTCACTGATCCATACAAAACTTCGCAACCGATTGGCAATGAAAAAGTTACATAAGCTAGTTTTTGTGCATTACAATATGCGGTTGCAAGTTAAAAATTTGATATATCAGCGTGAAAATGATGATTTTTATAATCCAATTGATTTAAACNGTAATATGTGTATATATTTGTCGCTTACGTAATACATTATACAATAAATTACAGATCAAATTATATACTGACAAACATGGCGAGTTTGGGAATGCACTTACTAGAAAAGCTGTACATGCCTCCCTTCCAGGTTTATTATTTAAACTAAATGTATTTAGTAAAGTATCATTTGTTAATCTTATGGACAATACTAATATTGTACANCCTTCCAGGTTTATTATTTAAACTATATGTATTTAGTAAAGTATCATTTGTTACTCTTATGGACAATACTAATATTGTACAGTTTTTTTTTTGTAGCTGAATGGTGGATCAATTATGGTGAAGAAGCTCCCCATCTGCAAAAAATTGCAGTCAAAGTTTTAAGCCAAACATTTTCATCATTGGGGTGTGAAAGAAATTGGAGTACATGGTCGCTGATCCATACAAAACTTCGCAACCGATTGGCAATGAAAAAGTTACATAAGCTAGTTTTTGTGCATTACAATATGCGGTTGCAAGTTAAAAATTTGATACATCAGCGTGAAAATGATGATTTTTATAATCCAATTGATTTGAACTATATTTTTAATGATGAGAATATATTAGATGAGTGGATAAGAGAAGGGGAGGAATCAATTTTACCACCTGATAACTTAGGTTGGCTGGATGAAGGTATTCGTGACATTGAAGAAGGTGGAAGTGGACGAGATGTAGTTGATGAAGGTGACACTAATACGGCACCAACATCTAGCAATTATGCCACTACCAGAAGATCTGAAAAAGATACGAGGCCAACTAATAAGGGTAAAAAGGCTATGAGAATTTTTGTTAGTTCTAGTGATTCTTCTTCTGATGATGATAATGATAATANTGCGGCCAACCAATAAGGGTAAAAAGGCTATGAGAATTTTTGTCAGTTCTAGTGATTCTTCTTCTGATGATGATAATGATAATAATGTTGCTGATANATGCCACTACCAGAAGATCTGAAAAAGATACGAGGCCAACTAATAAGGGTAAAAAGGCTATGAGAATTGTTGTCAGTTCTAGTGATTCTTCTTCTGATGATGATAATGATAATGATAATGATAATAATGTTGCTGATATTTATGGTGGTGATGGTGATAGTAGTAGTACTGATGATGATGATGCTAGTAATCATGGTGGNTTTATGGTGGTGATGGTGATAGTAGTAGTACTGATGATGATGATGATGCTAGTAATCATGGTGGAGATAATGATGAGAGCAACAAGAGTGGTGGTGGAGAGACTACTGGAGATGGTAGTGATACTCAGCTACTTGGCGGTATGTCATGGGCATAGGGGCAAGACAATTACTATGCCACACAGGATACAGACCATGGATATAGACCAGGGGCAATGAAACAACGAAGGAATTTAAACTCTTCCATTGGTGATGATTATTCCCATAGACGCTACCATCATTCACTTAGTCGACAAGATATTGACGATCATATGCAGAATTTGGGATTGACATCATATGAAGGATACATGTCTTACGGACATCATCAAAGTAGTGGTATAGAATCTAGCTATTCNAATTATTCCCATAGACGTTACCATCATTCACTTGGTTGACAAGACATTGATGATCATTTGCAGAATTTGGGATTGACATCATATGAAGGATACATGTCTTATGGACATCATCAAAGTAGTGGTATAGAATCTAGCTATTCACATGGATCATATGGATATGGTATCCCTTCGCAGCTTTCGAGGTCTACTAGTACTAATAGTGCTGGGCATTATGGCCATCGCCCTACGCATCTTGAGAGATCTACTAGTACTAGTACTGGTGGTTACTATGATCGTGTTCCAAGGAGCCATCATGATGGATCTTCTAACACGACATCGGATAGTGTCAACTTTTATGGATATGATCAGTCTTCTGCTAGTAGTGGCCGTGAATATCATGGTTTTGAGTACTATCAGTATGGGAACCAGCCAGTACAACCTCCACAGTCACACTACTCTGATTATGGGTCATCTAGTCAATCAACTCAACCAACCCAATCAGACCTGTATTTACACTTGTACTCTAATTCTTATGGCGGACAGTACCCTAATTTGTATTATCCTAGAGACAATAACAACGATTTTGAACCTCATCGTCGTTCAATGTGGCAATGATTACGGCTCAATATGTTCCTAAATGTCTACATTGAACATTGATAATGATAATTATTTTCGCTCGTGATTTTATGTTTCATTTTAATTATGTTTAATGTGTTTTTAGATGTATTGTGGATATATGATGCATAAATGATAATGTCTATTTTTTTAGAATTTTTTTAAATTTTTTTGGAGCTTCTATCTTGCATTTTGAGCATATCGGCCGATACCGCGCCGCGACGCTACGACCGATGTGTATCAGTACCCTCCGAGTTCATGGCCGATACCGCGACTTTGAACCATGGTATATATAGTCAACGAAAGTTACAATAAGGATAAAAAGGTAAAAAGAGAAAACTTAATAAGTCCTAATAAACTAGGCT